ATTAAAAGAGAAGTTTTTTTTAACTTTTCATTAATTTTCCTATTTAATTTTTGTTGTACGTTTTATTTTTATTGTTAAATTAAAATCGAACAGTAAATAACTGAATCATGATGTTAGAAGAACGAAACGCTTATTTTAAAACCAATACATGATATATATTTATGTTCAATTAACAAAATGAAATGGAAAAGAGAAAAATCGATGCAATATAGACAAAGTAAGAAGGTGACACCTCATAATTAGTTACTGGATAAATGTAATTAATGGCTAGAAGTCATAGACGTGAATACAACCAAACCAAAAGGTGCAAGTTGCACAAAAATCCATTTCTTCCTGGCTCTAATTAGGGTACGCCAATAATTTGACATAGAAATATGAGCAAGAGATGTGCTGGTGCTATATATGGAATTCGCATGGGCGATTTCGCCCCATTGATTTGTGTGGAGTGACTTCTAACCATCAACAGTTACAAAGAGAAATGTTAATGGAACTATCTTAAAAGTGGAACTATTTATATAGATTTTCTGCTATTTTATGTTTTTGCACAATGTTTTATAATGTTTGTTTGAGAATTAACGTTAAATTGTGAGATGATGGAGAGTTCATAGGGTCACACTTTAAGAGAGTCTCTTTAGCATATCTCCCGTCACAAATTGTATACATACACATGTAAGCAATTGTCTGCTTAGTAAATTTCGTACAAGTAATTGAGATGACAATTAAAAATATTATCATAAACACGAATTTTTTTTTAAATAGAAAAAAATTAGGTGAAATTAATTAGCTCTTCAGCAACAATCGTGTGCGAGACACCTACTCTATTACGAAGGGGAGATAACCATTACAAGCAGATAGTGACAAAAATGACATATTTGCTAACATGCATTTAAGAGATGAGCTCTGTCATTGCATGCAAAAATCACGTGTATTAAAGAATATTAATTTTGTGTATCTAAGCATATCACAATTAAGATAAGTAATGATCACTCTATAGAAGTGAAACCAGGCAAAAAGAGTCACTCACTCTCTTGAATATTATAAGGTCTTACATCATCGTTAGTCATTAGGAGAGAGGATACATTTCATGACACCCGTTGCAGTCAATTCAAAAAGTGTTTACCATTTTTGGCACACTGAATTCTTAAAGCCGTGCAGAAATCTGAATGGTCTCAAAAGCTTTCAATTTTTGTCCAATTTCTTCGCAGTATAGTCCAATACATGGGTACGTATATCATCTTCTGAGAGAACGAACATATCCTCTTTCTTGCAGACCTTGACAAGACTGATCGATATAGCAAATAGCTATAAGACAATAATCAGTAAGGTGACGAGAAGTTCACCCTCTCTTACCATCAATTATTGTAAAGCCCAATTGTTTGTGTTTAGACGTGATATTACGTCATCAGTCCGAGTAATCAAGGCCGTTGAATGAGCAGAGTTTTAAGACGTTGAAATGTAAAATATGAAATTGATTTCAATCACTTTATATTATATGGTTGTGAAATAATCCGAATTGAGTTGTGATTAATTTATAACATGAAGATCATGCCGTGCATTCAGGTGTTGGATAAGAGTTGTATTAGTCAGCAAGCAGAGAAGGAATAGCGATTAGCCTTTGTGCAGCGTGGCGATCAGCACGTAGCAAATGGGATAAAGATGAAAGTAAATGGGATGGTGATGATCAGAATGGTTTTGTGGGATAATGCAAAACTACCAAACAACAGGGTGCTCGTGCTGTATTTAAAATGATTTGGATGGAAGTGATGAAATGATTTGGATGGAAGTGAAATTATTTGGATGAAAGACATTTTGGTCAAATGTCTACGTTCTGATCAACATGGAAAAGTTAGTTCTCATCATGTTTAACCACAAGGGTGTACGTGAATATTTGTCAAGAGAGTTATAGCGCAATTTGGAATTTTCACTTTGTTGGCTGAGTTACTCCGGCCCTAGAAGCCTCTGCAACGTAAAAAGAACTCTTAGCTCAACACACAAAAATGTCATGTATAAATTCTCGCTCTACAGAAATCTTCTCAAACTTTTAAGAAAACACTAACTTTCCTAACTTCGTCAACACACAACACTGTGTTGACAATCAACGATATTTTCAGTATGAATTAATAGCACTAAAGCCGTAGAATCAAGAGACCGAGGAGCACCTTCAATTTGGAGTTTGGCCGACTACCTATCCAAGTTTCTGTCATTGAGAAGTCCTCGTCTTCTCATTGAAAGATGTCATCTCATTAGCTTCTAGGCGAGTGAGGTGTTACCCAGTTACTCAATGTTCAGCATATTGAAAGCTGAACCTCATTCATTCTACTCGCCGACCGTGATCGCTCAGATACAGAAGTCAGCAGTGTTCGACAACACCACCACATTCATTCTACTCACCGACTGAGCTTGGTGATGAGTTGGCAAGCCCGCATTCATCATAAGAACGTAGTTAGCTCATTAGCTATTTGGCCTGCGCACCACATAGGCTAAGTAATTTTTAGAGTGAACAGTTTGATCTCATTTTCTGATGATGTTCTTCTTACTTCGACTCCTTACTTTGATCCCTTCTCATTTATGTCCATGCGGTTAAAAGTTACGAACCATCAGACTACTTTCTCGAGAGTATCGTGGTTAGTCACATGATTGTTGAAGCATGTCTTGCATCAAAAACCTCATGAAGTTTCATACTAATTGAATCAAAGTCTTGTGTATAAAATCTCATACCTATTGAATTACACTATTAGTGATTAAGTTAGCAACAATACTATCAATGTTGATTACTAGTGAATTGTTGGATAGTCTCCGCAACTTTGAAATGGACTCAATCATCCAAATTCCAAAATAACAAGAATATTATATAATTCAACCTATAAAAAAAAGATTTAGAAGTTAAAGAAAATTTAAAAATATATATAATTGAATATCAGCTAACCTAAATTTTATATAATTTTGTTAGGAAGGAAATAACAATTATTTTCCTTAGAAATGAAATGATCCTTCTACTAATTTGTCTCACACCGGTCATATTGTAGAAGACACGAAGGCTTTGCAATCCACGATCATTAGAAATATATTTCATCATGTTCGCCGCCAAGCTAACAATGTAGCTCATATCCTTGCATGCTTTGTTGTCCATGGTGAAAAATCTTGGCTATGGTTTGAAGACCCGCCAGATTGTAATTCTGATTTACTTTTGAAGGAATGTAATTCTGTTTAGGCTATGGCCTCTGTGTTAGAGTGATTGGATTAAGTTGATCACGCAAACACTCCAAATATACGCATGCATGTCGATTCTACAACGTACGAGAGTTGGCATGCATCAACCTTTAGCCAAATCCACACACCAAATACAAATACAATTATTTGCGAAACTCACGGCCTAACCCTAACCCTCCCAAAAGAGGCAAGCCTAGTTACACAACCCAACCTTTCTTATATCTTGGGTCTCGATTTTGGAAGAACTCACCGTGTGAATAGTTTGTGCAGGGACCACAAAATTTGTAATTCTGGAGTACCTCATGGAAGTGGTCGCGTGTGCAAAAATTTGGCATGCATGTATATGCCTTTTTTTGTGCTTCTTAGTTTTGTTTGGAGTCTGCTTATAGTTACATAGGTAAAAAAGAGTAGAGAAAGATAATTAACAAAACTAAGAATTAAAAGAATGGTGAAGCAGTAATTACTTTTTAATTTATATACTAATTTTACTTATTAGGGTGTACTATTTATTCCCTACAAAGCCTCAAAAATATGGAATCATTTACAGATGTCTACTTATTTAGAATGAGGAAGTCGGGGATGTGGTGCAAAAAAATGGCTATATGGGCCCTAATGATGTAGATGAAACGGCGGAGTGGTTTGAAGATCAAATTGAGCAAATTGGACTAAAAGAACAAAGCTTTATAAATTTAAGCTTTAGTGTCAGACTTGTGTCTATGTACGACCCTTTATTTCGAGGAGAATGACTTACGCATCAAACTCATTTTTTGAAGTTTAGGACAATTTCAATATTTGGTTATTTCTTAAGTTATATTCTTACTTGGAATCCCATTGCTTAATTAAGTTACATTTTGAATATGTCATCTTGGCCTTATGTTGTTATCTTTCATATTCTTACCGATTAAACTCTTAAGGTTTTCTTCTCTAGTGGATTTCAATGTTCTTGTTCTTTAAGAATAACGTTGTGTACTCTTCTCCTTGTCACACTGCGTCACCCACTAGCCCTCCTAACTTATCAATATGATTCTTGGTTTTTTCAAGTTTAGGATTACATTTTAAATTTGCATGGCATGAAATATATCAATTCCATGCAATAAGTTTAGGACATGTTTAATAAGTATTTCGTTTTTAGTTTTTTTTTTTTAGGTAGAGATACAAAAAAAATGTATACCGAGAGATGAGGAATGTAGAAAAGTGGAGAAAGGGTGGACACAACCAAAAAAAATACACACTCACAAGGACTAGTCACCATCTTGTTTTCCTGAGTTTTGGCCTTTACCGTAACCTATGTATCTGACTAATTCGTGACTAGTTGCTTTAGTCACTGTCCAGTTACAAATGAAGAGAAGGTAGGAAACAAAAGCCAGAAAAGAAAACCTACTAAAAATTGTTTTCACTTTTTACTTTGTATATTCTTCATGCATATTAATTTGTTCCACTTGTGTATATAATCCTTATATTCTTAATAAAAAAAACATTGGAAATCAAAAATTCAAAATTCTTACTCTACAGTTATTTTCATATCATACCTCTCGAATACATATAAGATTCACATATATTTGTGAACCCTACTTTTATTAAAGAGTGGAGAGATTTCTTAGTATGCTAGAAACACAACTAAGAACTCCAAGTGTAATACTATAATTGTTTGGAAATTTGAGAAAAATAATTTGAACCAATTGTATTATGACATTAGTGTACCAAATCGTGTTTCCGGCATCTTGAAAATTTTCTCGTAGAAGTGATACAAATGTGGTATAAAAGATTTGATAAGTGTAGCATATATTACTCTTGAAACTAAATGATTATCTAACAGATCCTTTAATAAACATGTCATAAAAGTTAAATGCTCTATATACAAGATTAGTCTTGCTCCACACAACGATGACTATTGGATTTATGAAATAAATTAATGTACACCATATTTGGATATGACAATCACTCATACATGACTCTGTTGCAGCAAAAAATGACAATCACTCATACATGACTCTGTTACAACCAAAAAGAGCTTCAGCTGGATGCATTCAAAAGAACAAGAGCCTGGCTAACCTCACAAACAGAAAACACAAGTAAATTGCCACAAGGCCACTCCCCATATATCTATCCAGCTTCATACCCTTCTTTGGCAAGATCACAAGTGCCCAAAGTAAACCACCCATCAAAAACCCTATTGTTTCGTAGAGGGAATGGTCGGTAGGGATGACATATGGGGATGGATACTCAAACCATGATGACAGAACCAGTGACGTTCCCACTCCCACCAATGTGTTAAACATGGGCCCCGCATAGCATCCTGAAATAGCAATTTGGGCCCCATCTGTCCCACCCTTCACTGCCATTGTAGCATTAGCTATCAAATCATTGAGTGAGTTACCCCAAGCTAGGACAGTAAGTCCTAGAATTGAAGGGCTTATCCCTAAAATACTACCATATGATTCTAACAAGCCAACCAACTCTTCAGCAGTAATATACGTCCAAGCTACACTCATCAAAAACCCACCAACAAGCCAAGGGAACAAGCACTCCTTTGGTGGGCTACACTTATTTGTAGTCACGTATGCAAGGTTACTCAAAATTAACCCAATCAGCACTGCTGTCATGTAAGTTACCAACTTACCTCTTGAACTCAGATCTTCCCTCTGTGTGTTACAAAGGGCTGCCAGTAAAATTGGTGCCAAAGCTACAGAAATAACTGCATATGGCTTAGACCATCTTTCTTCGCTCACAACAGGTATAGTCAATCTTCTAGGCAAGTAGAGAGGTAACTCCAAGATATAAATCAATTTTCCCAAATAAAAAAACCAATAATTTTGTTCTTGATCATCATGAAGTCCCGTTTTCAAATTTGCGTTGGAAACGGGTTTATCATCATCAACATAACCAAGTAATGGTATACTTGCAGTACCATCCGCTAAATCATCAAAACTTTGCACCACTGGTAAATACTTTGAAGCTGCAAGATTTTTGTTCCTTTTGTATATTTGAGATACTGAAACAGTACCAACATAAACAAAGTAAATAGCAAGAAAAGAAAGGGCACCCCACAAGTTGATCCTCCCAATGACTATGATTGCCAGAAGGGATGAGAGAGAGAATAAGAAGAAGATGACATCCCTGACAAAGCTGGCCTCATCAACTGAAACCTGGTGAGGGCTTATTAGTATACTAATAACTCCCACCACAATGCTGGACACGAAGAAGGCACCCCCTAATACACTGTTGAGGCCAACATCGCCGTCTGCGGATTTTGTGAACGCAACGATGCTGGAAAAAACATCGGAGGCCCCGTTCCCAAGGGAGAGGAGGGTGACGCCGGCGATGGTAGGAGAGAGCTTCAAGATATTGGACAAACTCTCTAGGGAGGAACAGAAATAATTAGCAGCTGTGTTGCCCAATAGATAGAATAAAACAATAAGCCAAAGTAGAACTGCAGCATGACCCAGAATTGGAAACTTGCCAAGACTGCAGTAAAATATTTTCAGATAATGTATATACCCTTTAGGGTTGCAACCTGTGTGGGTTTTCACATACAAACACCTGGATTTATAATCTGCGTGTTGATGGAGATCTTTGCAGCCATTAACTGATTTGATATCCTCACTGAGAATATTTGCACTACTAATACTATTGGATTTAGGGTGGTTTGGTAAGTCTAAGTTATTAGGATGGAGATATGTTGTGATGAGAGAGAGACATAAGAGAAAGAGAAAGGAAATGTTGATGAATAGGGAGAGTTTCTTGAGTTGAGGAATGGAGGTTGAGCTTGCCATTCAAACCAAACAAGAGAGAGCTTGTAGAGAAAGTGTGCTTAAAGATATGTAGATATAATTTGAGTCCACCAACTTTGGAACTTCTGGGGAATCTGTTTTCTGGTGGAGGTAACGTGAAGTATTAGCTTATATATATCGCCTAAAGAAATGGACATTTATTTTTTGGTCGTTAAAAGGTGAAGAATTGAGTTTATTATAAAATCAATTGACAATATAAAAAATACAATTTCCTCACATGTGACAAATTTTTAAGCTTAGCATGTGGACAACACAAATCGGATGACGTGGAACACGTGTGGCATTGGGCTTCCACATGAACAACATACTCTAATACCATGAAAAAAAACGGATTTTCACCATAAAACCAATTTGATAATATGAAAAATATTAACTAAATTACTTATAAGCACAAGAAAAGTCTTTCATTTTCCTGACTTTGGATTCAATCTCAACAAAAGAAAGGTATATATATGAAATATTTCATATTAGATGAAGTAGGTGTTTGAAATTTTGAATTACATATTACTCAAGTAATGACCTCAAGCTATTTTAATTTGTTTGTGGTATAAAAGAAAATGTTTTCGGTGTTTAGGATTAAGCCAATCAATATGTAAATTATGTTAAAAAGTAGAAAGTGAAAGGACGATACTTGGCTCCTTCGCTCTACTTTCTAGTAAAGAGCCAAACAATGCTCTTTTAAAAATTCATGAGTCCGGACTTAATTAGATAAAGTTTTGGGCACCTTCATTTCTGTACGTAGGAGGATATAAAATAATTATGACATATGGTTTTGTACCCAAAAGAAGTCAAAAAAACGAAATTTCCTAAAAGCATTAGGGAGAGGGGGTGCAAAACAAAATATATATCCACAATTCCGCATACTATCATATCATAAATGGCCTCATATTTTAAAAGGCAATTTACTTACTGTGAGTTGCACTTGCACACACCTTTTTGGCATCCTTCGTGGTATGCAACAAGCTTGTCGACAACCTCAGGCTGGAAACAGACAATGAGAACTTGTATTTCCTGTAACTTATTTGATTAGATAGTACTGGAAATGCATGCATGGCAGTAGAGAGCTAGATTATAACTAAGACTTACAAGAAACCAGAACTACTTTGGCAGCCCGTACGCTATTGTTTTTTATGGTGCATCTGGGAGAGTTGGGTGGCCTTTAAAGTTCCATGGAACTTTGAATGAATTGTTAGGAATGCACTAGAAAAATTATATTTGCGCTTGAAAATGACTAGATACAATACATAGGTTAAGTAGTGTAGTGCTTGAGTAGTTCATGGGTTGACAAAGTTTTAGAGAGATGGGACGAATAATTCAACACCGAGACCGATGAGGCACAATCTCAACTTATATCTAACGGTTTTCTCAAGTTGTCCCTAAACCCAGCCACATACGTAAATTAATTATTTTACTAAAAAAAAGTTCATATATAATTCACTGAACGCTTAATTGCTTTCTTTCAAGTATGGTTTCTCACAGCCATTTCGAAAGTAATTATCTTCACAACATAACAACTCCATATAGTCCAACCAATTGTTAGGAATGCAAGCAATCTTGGACGATATAATACTTTGATCCTCTCATTCTCAAAAGGTTTTATTCATAACCTTTTTTTTTTCTTTTTATCGATCCCAAAATTTACTGTGTAAAATACGCACATGTAATTCATCTTTAACTACTAAACTACCCGTGTAGTTATAACTTCTTCCTTTTCTTCAGAATTAAAAAAGGTATGTAATATATTGATTGGATCGTGATCTGATTAAGTCGTATTATATAGTTTTTACCGAGGGCGGAGCTATGCTTGGGCTGGACTGCGCTCCAGCACAGGGCAAATTGTGGGTTTTAAAAAAGTGCCATGCAATTTTTTTGGTCCAAGTTGCCTTTTTTAAATTTAGCCCAGCTTCTTTTCGAAAAATGAGGCCAGCTTTTAATGATTTTCTCTTAGAATTTTCACGCATCATTTTTAACCTTTTATACTTTTGTATTTATCCTGATTGTTGATTTTGTTTCATTCATTCAATCCAATAGCCATAAATTATAAAAAAGCATATCTGAGAAACTAAAAATGTGTGTGAAAATTATTTTCTTATGAAATATGATAAAGTTCTAATGTGCTTGCCAGTCTCTCTCTTGCGTTGTGGACTTTAGTCCTATGTTTTCTCATGTTTCTCTTCGGTTTGAATTTGATTTCTGCAATGAGGACGATCCATGAGATCCTTCATAAGTAACCAGTTGCAGGTCCTCGTTGGGAGTGGTAAACAAATATTTTTCAACAAGTAAAAGTTAAACGGAAAATAAAAACCCACATGCTCCATGAATACTAATAAAATGCAGCTCCCAATTTCCAACCAAAAGCAAAATTAATCTAGCATTAATTTAAGAGTCAAATATTCCCCCCAAAAAAAATGTTGGTCACTCTTGTTACCAAAATCCTAGGCAACCAACAAACATATCCCTGTCACATTAATATTGAATTAATTAATTTTTGTCAATGATCAAAGAAAAAGCTTTGAAATGCCCAAAAAATCTCTCCCAAAAGGGTTATCATTTTACTAAAGAATCACAGCAATCTCATAAATTTTGAAACATAATTTAAGAAGTTATATAATTTTGGATATATTATGAATTGTTATTGGCACTCTAAGATTTTTAGACATAATTGTTAATGACAATAAGATTTTTAGAGTGTCAATAATAGTTTCCTTTATGTTGTGACATATATTCTAATACATATTATGATTGTGTAAATCCTAAGTAAAGATAGATTAGGAATCTTTTAGGATCCAAAAGATCTTTCCTAATAGACTTTGTATTGCTTGGAGAGCAAGTTTATTTCTTCTTTATTACTATAAATAAAGGTACAAGGACTGAGGAATTAACAAACAATTCCTAAAGCCTATTCTCCACTCTCTTTCTCTCAATGTTGCACCCCTCAGTTAAATATAGATTACAACATAGATTACAACATGTTATCAGCACGCTCCTCCATTGTGCTAAGGAATCTGACGTGATTATTCTTCAATCAAGGGAGTATTACGTTTCAATTATTCTTAATTTATTAAATTTTGGTTTTCTTGAATTCATATACTTTTATTGATTCAATTTATTTTTCTTATGTTGAACGTGATACGAGCTTTGGAGATGGAAAGCCGAAATTGAAGAAATAATTTTTCTGCATCAAACCAGTTCATCAATATCATCACGCAATCAGGTTCTTTCAAAACAACGATTTTTATCCCGATATTTTTACAGCCCTGATAGCATAAACATTCACCATAATGCATGACCCAACTTTACGTTTTTCGAATTTTAGATTCTACATAAATTGTGTTTGCATTATATCCATAATTGTGGAATTATGTGAATTGATATTGCATTAAATTATATATAGATCAGCATTAAATTATATATGCATATAATTGAATCTGAAAAAGAAAAAAAAAACAAAAAGTTAGGTTTTAAACCTAGATGAGCCTCGGCTTCAAGCCGCCTAACCCTGAGCAGCCAAGTCGCTAACCTGCCAGGCCAGCAGCCTGAGTCGCTGGAGTCGAGCCAAGTGGTGGTACCCTGCTTTGGCGGGGATACACCGACTTGTATGCTCTGCTTTGGTAAAGGTGTACTGAACGATATTGTGCTACTTTGGCAAAGGCTACCGACCAAACCCTTCCAGTTTCAGCTGAAGTCTACCGAACCCAAGTCTTGGTCTGTCTATCTCACAATCCTATTTTGAGTTTGTTTTACAACATATGGTAAAATCAGGTCTGCTAAGAGGTGGTATCACCCCCGAAGCATGATCCTTGACACCTAAAACTTCAAGAATAAAGAATAGTATTTCTAAACCTCACCCCTGCATAACCTAATTCAGTTTTGACGAAATATATCATTGGTTATACACTTGTATATGCCTCTACCAATGTTGTGGAGGAGTATCATTCATGTAGTCAATCTGTGAGACTAATTTTGCTCTACCTAACTGTTGGAAGTATGCCTACAAAGCCACTCATTTGATGTAATAGCTTTTTGGAATACTTATTATGTTAAACTTTTATATGTTTAATGGAGGGCAAATCTTATTGTTAATCACTGTTTATTGTATCATGTGTTTAAGCAATAAGTGAATCCAAGGAATGTATTTGTTCTAAGAGATAAGTGATCTAAGTAAGTTAGATTATCGAGACCTTTCTCTTATGTTCATTCCTAAAACGTTCCTAACCATAGGATTGCCAATTGGGCATTGACAATCCACTAAGGTTAGTATGTGTTATGTTGACTCAAGCGTGAGTATGACTAGTCTCAAGTGATTTGGTGTTGGACACTAAGACAGACACATAGGTGCTCGAAAGATTAATTGAGTACACTGAACTACGATCAAATCAGAGTTCGAACATACATGTCATGTAAGAACTCTAAGGTTGCAATATGCAAAGTAGTCCTTTGACCTGAGGCATCATAGATGCCTAATGGTTAGGTCCTTGACCTTTGATCCTGTCAATGGCATTCCCTCGGAGTGTCCACGGCATTGTTGGGGTCAAGCTATCTAGTCATGTAGGCATATGAATGTACAACAAGGGATCTCTAACCTTCCATGGTGGAGGGAGAATACTCTAAGATATGATTCTAAAGTCTTTGGCCAAAGCAAAGCAAATGAATATGACTAAAGGAAGGATGTTCCAAATCATATTCAAGGGAATCATATAAGAAAGTATCACATTGGATAGTAGACATGAAAACAAACTATCACTTAAACAATGTGATTAAGAGTATTGTATTAGAGAAGGACCGTATTGCATTGTAGTTGTAACTGGATAGGTTCTCCAACCAATTCTACTTAGCTTGGGTAACCATGACATGCTGCTAGGGCGTCAACCATGGTTTTGTGGAAGCCCTAATGGTTAGCAAACACTAATCAATGAAAGGGAGAATTGAAATGTGGTTTCAATTCATAATCGATAGTTAAGAGTAACATCGCCCACTGCCTCGCTAATTAGAACCTAATGGATCGTACACCGAGTAAGGATGTATGTGAAGAAATCAAATGAAATGGATAAGCAATTAAATGGTTTAATTGAAGAGAATGGTCAAGATT